TTGGGTCAATGGTGATTTATCTATGACCAGGATGAAACTTGGGTAAAATTAAGTGGAGGTCTGAACSGACTGATGTTCCGGAAACTCCCATCATATGAAATGGGTTCAATGTCCAGTTATGAAATCCTTGAAAAACGGCRAGAAAAGTTTTCCTAAATTTCTACCATCCCTTTTTTATATGGGACTACAAGTTGAACCAAAACAAAATCCTACCGATTTCTATGAAATAGCACCTATTCCYGTGAGATTTCAAAATCCTATATTTGTAGGATTTCAATGAATCCGGGCACTTCAAATCCCAAAAATCCTTCAAACCAAACATGGATTGGATTGGAATGGAATCCAAATCCAAATACAATTTAATCTTGCAAACTAAACGGACCTTAGGTTCTTTAGGTTTCATGCAATGTTTTTAAAAGATCTAGTTTTTGTCGAAGGATTAGATATTATAATGATTTTGAATTTTTGATTTGTCTGGTTTTTAGGATTTAAAGTAGAATTGCATTGCATTCTTTATTAATAATTACAAAAGGAATTAATGTGGGCTTGGGCGTGGATGACCAGGCTATATTGTTCTTGGAGGCCCATAACCGAACTACCAAAGAGGGTCGCGCTTAAAAGACMATAACTCTCGTGTCGGGTCATTGTTTCGGGTCTACGACCAGTCGATTTGAAGCTTGGAGCGAGGAGCACGTCGTGGTTAGGTCGTGGAGGGGCCTAATCGACTTTTGAAGCCTAAAAACGCTGTTTAAGCATGGTTTGTGGACATTTTCGTGGTTTTTACTCATTTTTGGCATTTTTGTGGCTTTTTATGTTTGGCCCATAATTTTTTTTCAGGCCRTTTTGTTTTAGGCTTCCTATTTATATGTGTCTTGTGTAATTTARATGGTCACACTTGTTTTTCAAAAACTTCAATTTTATCCCAAAATTTGAGTTCTCGTGAATTCGAATTTGAAGCCTAGGTTCAGTGTTCGTCGAATCAACGAATCCTAGAAGAGATTAGCCTCGGGTACTCTTAGAATCAACAAGACAATCTTTGTTCTCATTGTTATATGGTGCATCGGGAATGTTTTTAACATATTTTTAAAACCTAWTATAAATAAGTCCTATGAAATCTATTAAAATACTAACGATTCTTGTGGAATTTCCAAATACAATGTTTGTTAAATTTCATTGATATTTCAAATCCAAAATTTGCTTTCAACCCAAATCCGTCCAAATCTCTTATACAGAAAGGACCCTTAAAAAACTCAAGGATAAGTGTAATGATTTAAATTATTAATATTTAGAAAATTAAATTAAAAAAGTAAAAGAAAAACATAATTAAAAAACATAAAAGACTAGAGAGAGAGAGAGAGAGAGAGGTGTTTGTTTCAATGTTATATGGGTCCAAAGGGCCACAACATCATCCGCTACCACTCATCCCAACCCGTCCGACCGGTTCCAATCGATAAGGACATCATCCAATTGATTTATTTGGTTTTCAACTTTTTTTAAACGAACCAGATATCCAGATTGAATAAGTTGATAGGGATGTCATTCGTGTGGTTTATTCCATTTTAAACTTTTTCTAAACTACTTGATAACAATAACAATTATGGTTCAATTGAATCGTTTTTTTGATTATTTGGTTCAGTTATAAGGTAAACTGAAAGAAGGTATCACCGTAATAAGCTTTGTTGAACAAAGTTATGTTTGTTTTTTCTCCGAAAATTTGGTTCGTGAAAGGGTTAATATTTTCTYGAAGACGAAATAAGTTGCATAATAAATATTATTTGATTCTCAAAAGAGTTTATAAATATAAAAATAATAATTATACATCAACATAAAKAAATAATTGAAACCAAATTGACTATAGCTATTCAGGTAATCCGAAAACTGAATAACCTAAAACTTGATAGGTTATTCGTTTTTAGATTTTTTACACACTATCAATCAGTCCCTTTTGACCATTCTGAATTAAGATTTGAAAAAGAGAAATCTGATGGAGCTCAATTTATAACCGATCGGCTAGATAATTTGCTTAACTCATCGGTTCCCAACCAGTCTCATATCAATCTTTCCTTAACTGATTACACTCGAGTTCCGACCAGACCAATCCCTATTACTCGGTGGACGCTAGCTACAACAACACTTGAGCCTCATTTCAACACAAGCTGTATACATACAGCTTGTTCAATTCAGTCAAGTTAAGTAAAGAAAGAAATACTTTAACAATCAAAATAATATGTCATGAAGCTGATYAACAGAAGTTGTTTTGTTGTCGATTGTTTGCTACAATTTCTGTTYTCAAGTTCTAATGTGAAGAGATTGAGATGGTGCTTTCCACAAGTAGGTTATTGGTTCAAAGAGGTGGACTTTGAAGCTTCAATTGATGTTCTTGGGCTTGGATATGATCAATCCGTTAAAACACATATATTCGGTCGAATCGGTCAGTTATAGCCCCGGTCCTCRGTCCCAGGCCTTCCTTAACAGGCTCAGGTCAAAATCCTTGGCTGTTCAACAATGATCACCTCTACCAGTACAAATATATAATTGTATTTTTGGTAATGGAGTCGATAGAAAAACCAATAAAGAAGGGACACAAATATATAGAAAAGCTAGAGCACATCGACCGAAAAACACCCTCATTTGATCGGCAGTAAGCTAGCATGTTAWTAGCGTTTCAACAAGCTTCGCTATTTATTTTTCCAAATGTCTTTCTGGGAAATTTTACAATGTAACATAACTTATCAATTAATTTTACCAAACATGACCAATCTATCAACTAGCTTATTTATCGACAACTAGTTTATAAATTATGTTGTAGACAAGATAACCTCTAGTCTGAYTGATTCTTCAACCTGGACAAGTATCAAGGTTTGGATCTTCTCTCAACCATTGGCTTAGTTTCCTGTAGTTAACTACGTTCTAGGCAGATGATCTCTTGAGCGTACATGTCCTTTTAAGTCATTTTACAATGTTTTACCCTGATCAATTCCATGTCCATTGAAAGCTATAGTGATTGCAGTTCAGTCTCATCAMTTTATATACTCATTCCCAATGGGCAACATAACAGCTAAAGGAGCATCAGGATTAGATCAGTACCTAGAAATAAAACAGCTCCCAGCATCATAAACATTAACTGACCATTTTTAACCATCTCATACTTCGTTGACCTCTTTAACTGTTCTAGGGCTCCAAAAAAATTGAGCTATTTAATTGTAGAGCAGAATTGTGTTCATATATTAGGCCACATATAAAAGACTTGTATGCTTACCTTCAACTCTAGAATCTATGTTTCTTTTTAGAGGAAAACCAACAAAAATCGTTTACTTTAATGTTCCTCGTGAATCCAACATGTTAACGCAATAAAATGTAATCAGCAACTACTCCACCAAACTCGCTCAAACCTAACAAAACGTTGGCTTTCTCCAAGACCTGTCAACTTGCACCCAAAAGGATGTAAACAAAGACRGTGAGATCTTACGTACCCACCGATTATAGTACACTACTAATTCGTTAGACAACCTAAGRGTGGAATTCAAGTTCAGCAAGTCTAACTAGACAATATATTAGCATTTCAACTATGAATTGTTTTGATTGTAATTATAAATAACCAAGGTAATCAGTGAATATACAAAATGAATTCAAAGAATGATGGAGAACACCAACGATTTCTTTTGTGTAATACTAATTGATATTTGACAAGGCCAGGGACGATCRAGTGAGAGATTGGGGAAAAAAGAGGAAGGGGCCTTGTCGAACAGTTGACAGTATACTATGTTTGTTCACTCTTTCTATCAACTAGAATGCTCAAGTATACAATTTAGTAACTGTCGGTTGCTTATAGAGAAATGAGCAAATGTGAAACCAAACCAAACCAAACCAAACCAAAAAAGTCACGGTAAATCCCACTTGAATGTAGGGTTGAGCGGAGATGAGATGTAGGAAAATCTGACCTCTACCCCAAAGAGTAGAGTGGTTGCTTCCGTAAAGACCACCAATTTGTGCAAGAGTGTGAGCAAGTGTAGCAAGAATAAAGCTTAGCATATATGGTGAACAAAGCACTAGAAAAATAAGTAAGAAAAAACATCGAATAGATATACTGAAAACATACAAAGGTAAGTTAAGACAAGACCCACACACATAAAGGCAAAAACACAAGCCAGCCCTCTATCCCTCCCCTCCCAACCTGTCCAACTCCTTTCTGCGCAACTACACTAGCCAGAGCCTAAACTGCCAGCCTTTTGCCCAACTAYGCTAGAAATGAGCAGCGAAGGTAATAGTTCAAATGGTTAATGATTCAAATTAAAACCGAGAGCCAAAGTAGTCCATTGTTCTAAAAAATTAACCTAAGAGTGGAATTCAAGTTTAATTTCAAAGAATCTTCAACCATTTAAGCAAGTCTAACTAGACGATAATAGCACCTTSAAACAATGAATTGTTTTTATTCTAATTAACCAAGATTATTAGTGAACATACAAAATATGACTTCAAAGAGTGACGAAAATCACGAACCTTGACAGGCTACCAACTAGAATGCTCAAATATACATTTTCGTAACTATGTTGGTTGTATATATAGAAATGAGCAAATGTAATAGTTCAAATTGTTTAATGACTCAAATTGAAACTCAAAGCCAGATAGTCGTCTGTTCTCAAAACTAAGGAGCTACTGTTAGATGTATAAATCAAACCATTTAATTGTTCTACTGATTTCTCATKAAGAAAACTTCATTAGTTTTATGAATTCTTGAATAGCTTTTAAATTTCAATTTTGAAATTCAAATACTTGATTTGAAGTGAAATTTAACACACAGTTTGTTAAATCTTTTGGAAAAACCTCTTTTTTACTGCAATAGGGAACAAGGCAAAGAGAAAAAAAGAAATGAAAGAATGAACTAACCGATTGGGGTTTTTTCTTCAGTAACCATAGATGATGTAAGAAGAAGAWGAACATAAGTTCACTAACAAAATCATTACGGTTATCGCAGAATAATAGCATATACGCTGATTTAACTGCATAAATCATAGAGATCAAAATAGAAATTTAAGAAAATATGATATATAACATATCGAATTCCAGAACCCTAGAACTGATGGTACGATTAAGACAGAAATCCATGAACATGAAATTAACACAAGATCGATATTAGATCTGAAAAACTTATAACCAAACCCTCATCAAATCAAAACCCTAGAAATTAATTGATCTGACGGATAARGCTACAAATATGAAGCCCTAACCGTTTGCAACAGCTCTAAGATAGGGTTTCAACGGTCGAGCTTTCCTCAACGTGAGCAGTAGCATCGGTGGTGGCCCCATTCTTTTCATCCAGCGTCGAGGAGGTCGCCGATGAGGCGGATCTGGACTTGACGGTATCGAGCATTCGCTTGCTGATCTCTTTCGAGTAATATTGGAGGAGCTCGATGCCGTCGTCTTCGTTGTCTTCAGCAGATTTAGGTGCGTTATTGGCGACATTGAAAGCCTCCTCCTCGATGAGGCGAGCGACACCGGCAGCCTCACCGGCAGGTATTGTTCCATAACGATCGGAGAGGACGGATTTTTCCGAAAGCGTCTGGATGAGGCGTTTGATAACGGCGTCGCGAGTGCGTTGCGTGGGAGGCCAAATGCTGAACGTAATCCTWTCCAGCTTCGTCTTGGTCTCTTCAACCACCGGCGTCATCTGTTGCACGTTGTTTCCGGAATCTTCTACGGCGGGTMGTGTTGTCGTTTGCTCTTCCGTTTGGTCTGTCATTGTTCTCGAAGAGCTTTGTTGCGAACGAATGAAAATAACGGAGCGACAGAAAAGGGATTCAACGTATTTATAATGGGAGACTTTTCGTTCACACCCCCTACACTATACTTTAAGGTTGATATCGGTCCCTCATAAATGAATCGTGGAAAACCCCTTCCATTAATTTCTTTTACTAGTTTATAACGGTGTTCCAAAATGTAATAATAGATAGTAGTAAACCCTTRAGGGGTGTTTGGTTCGTCGGAATCCACCAGAATCTGATGGAATTGGAATGGTCAATTTCGTTGACCAAATTTAATTTCAATGTTTGGTTACCCATGGAATGGAATTGAATTCCAAACATTCTCTCATTTGAGGATTTCCCCATTCCTTCCTAAAACTGATGGAGAGAAGGCTTGGAGTTGGTGTTCCTTGTTGAAGTCGGTGTTCCTTGTTGAAGTCTTCAAACCACCATATAAGAGCTAGTGTTTTGAGTGTTCTTCATCGCCTCCTCTTGCTTTCTTCTTGGTGTGATTTAGAGATCTTGGAAGTATAATAAATCATTATGAGAGTTTTGAAGCTAAGATTTGGAAGGCTTGTTAGGARATCTCAAGTTTTTACCAAAGGAAGATCAAGATTTGGTTCAGAACCTAGATTTAGCATAAATCTAGCAAGATGAGTTCTAGTTGATTTGTAAAACTATATACATGTGAAAATATCTTATTTTGGAGTTTTGAACACATTTACATGGGTTATTACAAATATATTCATATTTTATGATTATTTGGGTATTGGGTATTTTTTTTGGGTTGTTGAAAACCTTTAGGAAACAAGTTTAAATGAACTTATACTTATTCTGCTTGAGGTTTTACCATATGGTGTGGGTATTTGACATATTTGGCTATTTGTCACTTGTGTCTTTATAAAACCCTAGAATATTCATATTCGAGTTTTGGTATATTTAATGATGAAAATCACTTGCGAGTGATATTGGTTAACTACTTGTATTTGGTTTGTTGGGTAAATGTCATGTTTATAATTTTAGAGTATTTAGAACTTAACCATTGGGAAGTGTTTTATAAAGRAATCCATAGACATTTTAGAGTATGATTTACATGGATTTGTTTATTTGAGGTTATGGTGGTTAAAAGGAGTTTATTTCTATATGAAGTATAATTGGTMTAATCAACATTTAAACGATGATTTAATTCTAACCATGAGGAGGTTTTGAACAAATCATACTTGAAGTATGAACGTGCATAAGCATTTCAAAAAGCACTTTATGGCCTTTTATTGGCTTTTTGAGTGTTTAAGCAAATCGTAGTGCTTAACTACCTATTATCAATTCAAATGATTTTTAGGATGTGGCCAAACCTAAATCGTTCACTACTGTCATTTGAACGTGATTTATATGTTTTGTGTAATTGAGAATTACCTGTTTCGAGTGGGTTCATCATTTAATGTCGAGTCATGTAATTGTAGATTGTCATGCAATGGTCCCATAGGCATGTGAGTCAATCATGTTTGAGAAATGAGAAGTTTTGATATTCTCAGTTTAAGTTCAATGTCTGAGTAGGCATAGTGGTAGTCTCGGTATTGCAGAKAGAAACCCATGTAGGGTTGGACTATAGGACTGTCGGTATTGCAGAAAGGAACCTGTGTACATTTGGACTCCGTTTGGGACCGTCGGTATTGAAAAAAGAMACCCATGTGGGTTTGGATTCCAAGATAGTGGGTATTGTGAAGATGATCACTTGTTGAGTCGAACTTCGGGACCTTGGATATTATGGTGATGAACTCGTGAGGAGTCAGGCACAAGGACCCTTGTTTTGAGGTTTCGCCCTGGTAGAGTTGACCCAAAGTCATTAGGGGTATTATGCGGATCAACTCCTCTGGATCGAGCCCATGACCATTAGTTTGTAGGGTAACTCTACARTATGTAAGTAGGCACTAATGTYGAGGGTATTRCAGAGTCGAACTCATRTGGGTTGGGCTCCGAAATATTGGTTATTTAAGTGAAAACTTGAAAGGAGTTAGACACCGTGATCGTGATGTAATACCCCCAAATACTACATTTGCATATAATACATATTTCATTACATAGAAATATAGTTTACATCACAWGGTCCCACTARTACAAGGATTCCTATATGTACAAAATCTACACATGAAAAATTCAAAAACAAATCTTGTACTAACACATGTAATACAACATGTATCTTCAAAAATAAGCAATCTTAAGCAGATCTTCAAAAGTAGAMAACAGATTAGGAAAATAATCACATTTTCYCKTTCCCTTTAATATCYCTGGACCCCGCTATTCCTACATTGCATAATTTTAAAACAGAAAATGAGGGTTARACCTGAAGGGTCTAGTGAGTAAGTCCCTTCTTTACAAATGGAGGGTGATAAACACCAAAATATAATAAAGTAACTTTRCTCAGAAATATTTGTAATACAATTCAATGATGCAGTTCTCAATGACATGTATAAAAGAATAAACTCAAGAACCTCAGTTCTATTACTAAAATATATTTKCTTAAAGATTCAACATTCTCAATATGAAACAATAATGTAACCAAAGATTCTTTGAATCATTAAACCATTCCTWTGTAAATATTTAACAGAAAGATTAAGGCAATACTTGCCCTTTATGACAAACCATTTTCCCCTTCTCAATAACATCTAAATTAATATTTCTAATAAGAATAATATCTTTAATTCATCAGGTCACAAAGAAATGATGATTCAAAGTTATTAAATCCAATTAGTAATAATAATAAGAGTTATAATAATATCCACATATGACAATGCCTCCCTTATTCCAAGTACACATCTCCTTAATATGCCACCCTTATCCCTCCATCAAAACATGGCTACTTATTAGAACAGACAAAAGTCACCACGTCTGAAAGTACCCATTCCCAGTTCTAAGCCAGAACAGACAAAAGTCACCACGTCTGAGTGAACTACCACTTAAAACAAGTTTCGTACCAAAACAGACTTACGTCACCACGCTTGGTAGAAACAATTTACAAAATCCAATTCCATACCAAAACAGACTTACGTCACCACGCTTGGTAGAAACAATTTACAAAATCCAATTCCATACCAAAACAGACTTACGTCACCACGCTTGGTAGGAAGGTTTCCCAAAATATAGTTTCATACCAAAACAGACTTGTGTCACCACGCTTGGTAGAAATATTTTTCCCAAAAATCCAGTTCCATACCAAAACAAACTTACGTCACCACGCTTGGTAGGAACATATCTTTTTATTTAAAAAGATATAAAAYACCCTCTTTATAAATCCACAATTAAACCCAATAATAGACATTTTTAAATTATATTAAATGTCTAAAATATTCAACATTTGAAAATTATCAAATATAAATCAYCCGGATAAGTTATYCGGATATACAATCTGGACAACACTATCCCTTCTTGTCCGATTTACTAATCCGGACAAGACTTGGTCGAGTTAAGACTAAACCGCATGACTCATGTCCGGTTTAAGGCWATCCGGACAACACATGATYGATTTAAGACTAAACCGCTCAATACGTGATCGGTTTATAACTAATCTGCACGACTCTTAGGCGATTTAAAACAAAACCGCACAATGCTTGGTCGTATTCATACTTTTCTGTTCAAAATCTTTGTCCGATTTACATATTTCAAAATTCTCACCAACACTCTAAATCGYACAACACTTAAGCGATTTATGAATAAATCAGACACCTCCTATTCGGTTTAAGAGTAATTCGGACAARCTTTGTCCGGTTTAGACTTAATCCGGTCACCCTTTGTCCGAATAAAACCCTTAATTAAATAACTGGTTTCTTTCCAATAATAAGCAACATTCAAATAAAACCAGTAACAAATTTTATACAAAAAGGTTTAAAAATCACTCACCTTTATACAACAACTTTGTTTTGAAGAAGATGAAAGGTAATTTGAATCCAATTCTTGATTATCCGGACAACTCTTCTCAATTCTCTCTCAAATTTTCAAATGAGGCCAGAAGCTTAATTCCTCACAAAACTTCATATTTATACTTTTCCCCATTTGGAAAGTCGGTCACCTTTCCTTCCCCCCCCCCCACATGCATGCATTATAAAACCATACATATATGTACATAAACTCATGCATACACATGCACATTAACATTATGCATATACAACATATATATATATATATATATATATTCCCACACATTATGCATATACCTCATGCATGAAATACACATATTTACGCAATTGATCCATGTAAGCATGTATCGACATAAACAATTAATTCACATAATAAATACCTTGGGTAATAACCAGGACCCGGTTATCACATCATCCACCCCTTCAAAAGAATTTCGTCCTGGAATTCCTTTAATTAAAGAGTCGTGGATAATCTCTTCTCATATCTGACTCCAACTCCGAAGTTGCCTCTGGTCCTTTGTGAAACTTCCACTGTACTTTAACCAGACTGATTTCTTTGTTTCTCAACACCCTAATCTTTCGGTCAATTGCGACTTCTGGTGTTTCCACAAAGTTCAGTTTACTGTCCAGTTTGACCTCTGGTAACGGTACAGCGAGACTCGGATCAGCTAAATATTTCCCCAAATTCGATACATGGAAAGTGTTGTGAATCAAACTTAGTTCTTCTGGTAGTTCTAACTGGTACGCCACTGGCCTGATTCGTTTACTTATCTTGAACGGCCCAACATACCTCGGACTGAGCTTACCTTTCTTCCCAAATCTGATGACACCCTTCCATGGAGAAACTTTCAACATTACAAAATCACCTACACAAAATTCAATCGGCTTTCGACGATTATCAACATAACTTTTCTGGCGATCTTGTGTTGTTTTGATTCTTTCACGAATCTGTTTAATTTTGTCTGAAGTTTCTTGAACAATTTCAGGACCCGTCAACTGCCTTTCACCTACCTCATTCCAACACAACGGCGTTCGACATTTACGTCCATACAATACTTCATATGGTGCCGCTTGGATGCTGGAATGGTAACTGTTGTTATACGCAAACTCTATCAGTGGCAA